AGAAACTACTACTACAAAAAAAAAAAAATCAAATTCAATTCCAAGGCTACGCAGACGCAAATTGATGGGCAAAGGTATTGAAAATGTATTAAACTACGGGTGCTTCATTATAATGCTCAATGTTTTATACTCGGGAATCGGAATCGAAGTATTCCACGATCCCACTTTTGTATTTTTCTACATTACAAAGCGAGATAGACATAATTAATTACTCAAAAAACATGCTGAAATGTTAAATGTCGTTTCAATTTTACTAATGTCGTTTTGACTTCGAACCTGATTTTGACATATTTCTATTTTGATTTCGGCAAAATTCGAAACACGAAAACTGTAGTCCTTTGTGTTAGCTTTCTAATCCAACTTAAATCCGCTAGATTGGATGCCGTGCGACAAAGTTATGCATGAATGAGTCACATTTTGAATTTTAGATACCTCAATACATCAAAGTTGTAGGCAGTATCCATTGATTCATGTATATCTTTCTCGTCCGACATCCAATTTTGGTGATTGAAGTTGGATTAGAAAACCAACTCAGAATACTACAAATTCTCTTTTTCGGGTTTTGCAAAATTTGGAATAAAAAATGATCAAAATCACGTTTGAAGTCGTAACGGTATTATTAAAGCTCGAACGGCATTTATCACATCCCAAAAGCATGTCACATCACCTGTAAGAAATATTTTTTGAGTTTCAATTTACATGAGACAACCACCTCATGTTATTAATCATTCAAATAATAATTTCAAAAAAATCAACATCAACAAGATAAATATAAAAAAAGGGAAAAAATAAGAGAAGTTGTGATATGCTCACCCATAATTCACTACTAAGTTAATGTAATCCACTATAAAAATTAACGGAATCCACTGCTAAGCTAATGTAATCCACTATTAAATTAATGTAATCCACTATATTAATTTTCTTCCTCAAACAAACTAAAATGAACAAAATAGCAGGCCTATATAAATCAAAACCCACTACGAAAATATCAAAATCCAATAATGAGAATCAGGAAAAATCTAAAACCATAAATCACAATGAAAACAAATTAGCATTCACTATATAATCAAAAATCCTAATAGGCCACCTTCTTGGCTAAATTGAATTGATCATAGTACAACCTATCATTAAACCCAAGAAATATCAACTAGTTCTAATCATAAAATTCATATTGGCGAATTGCATCTACCAATCAAACACCTTCATTATTATATTAATTTAGCAAAAAAAATTATAAATTAAAAAAAAATTAGAAAGAGAAACAAGAAAATCACCTTCGTTGGTTCTCTAATTTCCGCGATCGATCTGTACAGCAGTAGCCGAAATCTTTGCTGGGGGCACACCAATTAATGAGGAAACCCTAACAATGATTCGCTCTTGAAGCGGTTGAACGGGAAAAAATAGAAGGGAGACGGTGGAGAAAAAAGAAAAGGGCAGTAAAAAGAGAGAGAGAGAGAGGGAGAGAGAAAGAGAAGAGCAACGACGAAGATGGGAGAAAAGAAACCCCACACAAAGATATGCTCGGCGGCTCTACATCCGGTGGTCGGGACCAAACTCGTCGTCATCAATTTTTTGTGCCTTATCTTGAGTTTTTCCGTCACGATGGTCCTTATTCCGTCGTCCGATAGAAGAAAAGCGGAAGAGAGATTGTGGAAGAGAGAAATATCGATCGAGAGAGAGGAAGAGAGATGGTGGAAGAGGGAAATATCGATCGAGAGAAAGAGAGAGAAAACTAGTGTGACTAGGGTTACGTTAAACGGTGTTGGATATGAGTTTGGTGGATGGTATAATTGTAGTATATAATTTAAATTCAAATTATGGATTTATCTCAAAAAGTGAAGTATTTTTTGGGTCTATACTAACTACAAAAGGCATATGGGGGGTTTTTTCTCAAATAATCCCTTTATTTTTTTCATTTTTTTTATTTCGGTTTTTTCTTTTTTTTTTTAGTGGTTATTTTTTTTTTAATTTTTTTTCCAGCACGTTTTACCAAAGTGAAATCCACTACAAACCTATTGAAATCCACTATGTAATACCAAATTGAAATTTACTAAAAACTTATTGTAATCCATTATGTAATTGACGTAATATGCTATAAAATTCACTATGTTTTATCAAATTGAAATCCACTATGTAGTATGTAATATCAAATTGAAATCTATTAAAAACTTATTGAAATCCAAGTAATATTGCTACAAAATCAACGTAATACACTATCAAATTATCGCAATCCACTATTAAATTAACAAAACTTCTACTATTACTCTTTTTTTTAAAACACCAACAAATGTCGCCACCACCGATAATAGTAGAGTTATCCGGGCATCACCTAATCTAAGTCACTTTTGTTGCCATCGCTCTGCCAAAAACCTCAAACAAAGAAAAAGAAAACAACAACATATCAATTTGATTCATTCAAAAAATCCATTTTGAAAACAAAAACATGAAATACACTACAAGCTCATAAAAAACCACTACAAAAAATCACCTTCACAAAGAGAAAATCCACTTCAGTTTTATCGAAATCCACTAAAAACATACCTAAATCCACAACAAAAAAAACCCCTTTAATAAACGCCGCCATAGCAGACAATAGTAGAGTCACCCGATCATCGCCCAACATCGTCCTACTTGCTGCCATCACTCCACTTGTGCAAGAACCTAAACCAAAGAAAAAGAAGACAACAACGTGTAAATTTAATTCATTCACTAAAAGTCATTCTCCAAAGCAAGAATTTAAAATCCACTATAATCTCTTCAAACCCCACTATAAAAATTATCGAAATCCACTAAAATATTAACATAATCCACTGTGAAATAACTTAATCCACTAAAAAATTGCAACAAGAATATAATAACAAATAGTGACCTAAAACATGAAAAAAAGCCACAAAAGTATATTGAAAATCTCATATATAATAGCTCATTCAACAATTCGACTAGTTGGCACTTCTAGTTTGTTAACCGTCATATAAAATTTGTTTATGGATAAAGAGAGAAATGACAGCGGCAAAAACAGCCGCAAACCCACATCTTAAACAACAACAAACCGACAGGAAAACAACAGGAAAAACAACAACAAAACCAGTTGCAAATTAGTAGCCAAACAACAGCAAATTGCAGGAAAACCAACAGAAAACAACAGCAAAATAACAGCTAAACAATAGCAAATTGCAGCAAAAAAATACAATAAATAAATTATAATTCTAAATTTTCAGAAGAAAAAAAAATCCAAAATTTGAAAATATTTTTGGAAATTATGTGAATTTTCGATAATATTTAGTGATTCACCTTATTAATCAGCTTATTGTTTTCCTTTACTAAAAATTAAAGAAATAAAAAATAATTGCTCACCAATTAATATTGATTTTATTCTTCTTTATTGGTCACCGATCTTCAAATCAAATTGAATAAAAAACCTATGAATCTCAAATTGAATAATAAAACTATGAATCTGAAAACTCATGAACACATTAATATAGTGAAAATAATAAATTGATGAAGTTCATAAATCACAATTTGCACTTAGATGTTAATATTAACATTCAACAAGGGCAGGGTTGCACTCTCTTTAAGGCGGTGGTGGCGGCGGCCACGATATCTCTGCTGGTCGGGCATCTACAAAGATTGGAGGGGGTGTACCAGGGAAGGCCCGGAGAGGCTTCGGTGACCCAACACAACACGGAGGTGCTCCACCATAGGAGGAAGATGCCTTTTTCCCTTGTGGAAATGGTGGTCGGTGGATTTGCCTGGCGAGAATGGCGGTCGGCGGAGAGAGAGATGAAGAGACAGAGCGTGGTTGAATAAGAGAGAGATAAGGGTTGAAATTGAGAACATGTAAAATAAATACGGAACAAATATACTTAATTCCATTAATAATATACGACCATATATACATAAGGTTATTATAGAGTAAACATAATAAAAAAAATATTGTTTAAAATACATTTTGGTTTATCACAAAAAGGAGAATTTTTTGGGGGTCTACACTAAGAGCCCGTTTGGCTAAGCTTATTTAAAATATCTTATAAGCTCATACATCTGATAAGATGTTTTAGGTGCTGATAAGCTGTTAGATCTTAGTTTAAAAATTATTTTTTAAGGTGTTTGGATATGTAGCTTATAAGTTACATTTAATTTTTATAAGTTGTTCAGGTGTTTGGAAATAAAAGAATCGCTATAATGACAAAAAAGTCATGGTGTTTGGAAATAAAAGAATCGCTATAATGACAAAAAAGTACATGACGCCATTATAACTGTTAAACTTATTTGACTAAAATACTTTTGTTCCTAAAATATTATTATAATATTTAGACATTAATTTTTCAAATAGAAATAATAATATAAGATTAATATATTAATATAAAATAAAGGTTGTAAAAGAAATGTAATTTTTTTTCATAGATAAAAGAAATATAATTTATTATTGAGATAATAAGAATATTCGGGTGTTTTATATACATATAAAATTTAAATAGAGAACATTTTTTTTACAATTATTATGATAATTATATTTTAACTAATAATTAATCTTACAAGAATACATTGTTTTGATAAAATATAAATATTTTTTATATTCATGTAATATAATAAAATATTTGAGGGTAATTTTGTATTTTGAGTGTTTTAGTAAATAATCAAATAAGATCTTAAACAACAAAGGTGGGTGGAGGTATTTTTTTAAAAACATCGTATAAGCTCCCTAACAGCTTATTTTTGGAAAAAAATAAGATATTTTCCAATTTTTTTATCAAACACTTTTAAACAACTTATAAGCTCTTAAACATCTTATAAGATATTTTTAGGAGCTTATAAGCTTAGCCAAACAGGCTCTCACTACAAAAAGCATATGAGTGAGTTTTCTCAAATAATCCCCTAAAAGTTTATTTAAAATAAATTAAATGGTAACCAAATTTTATAGCAACGTGTCAGCTTATAATTCGATGTCAAGATATTCGATAATGTTTTTTTTTTGCCACGTGTTAGTTTATAATTCGATGTACGATATCCGATTAGACTTTTTATTGCAACGTGTTAGTTGTCGATTTGATGTTAAGATATCCGATAGGATTTCCTTTCTATATCAAACATTTTAAATATCTTATTTGTTCACACATTTTATCATCCCCAATTTCTATCATTTTCATCTTTATTTCAATATGCATCGTAATCAAGGTATTTTAACAACTTTCTTGTCCGACTTTGATTCTGTTGATCTCGAGAAGCAAGTAGAAGCAACATAAAAGGAGGAGGCCGAGAGAGAAAGACAACACACAAATCGTCGTGGTTTAGTTTCTGATAGATGCGTCATTAATCGCGATAGAGGTGAATGTCATAATAGAATTTATCGTGATTACTTTTCTGATAATCCTGCATATCACGGTGTTTATTTTAGAATTCTTTTTGGTGTTGAAGTATGCAGTTCCTACTTTGTCAAAAAAAAAAAAAAAAAGATGCAGTGGGGCTCCCTGGTTTATCATCTTCATTTGGTAATTTGTCTCGATTGCTCCAAGTCAACGAGCAACGTGGATTTCCAACTTAGAAGTATCGATTGCATGCATTGGGATTGAAAAACTGTCCATCCGCATAACAGGTACGTACCCTGGTCATTATCGTAAACCTACTATTATATTGAAGGCGGTTGCTTCACAATATCTTTGGATATGGCATGCCTTCTTTGGAATTCCAGACTCGCTCAATGGTATTAATGTTTTTTAGAAATATCTCATATCTTCTCAGCATTAACCAACGGTCGTGCATCTCCGAACAATTTTATTGTCAATGGACATAATTATCATAAAGGTTATTATCTAGCAGATGACATTTACTCTTCATGTGCTACTTTTGTGAAGACAATACTAGCTCCAGGAGGTTTAAAGGCGAAGTATTTTGCACAAGCCCAAGAAGGCGCGAAAAAAGATGTAAAACGGGGATTTGGGATACTATAAGCTCGTTACAATATAGTTCGTGGACCAGCAAGATTTTAGGATAAGGAGACACTAGCTAATATGAAGAAAACGTGCATTATAATGCATAACATGGTTATTGCGGATGAATATGGCCCAGGTTCCATTGATTTTGATTTTCCAACACCAAATATTATATCTTCACTGAACAAACAAATGAGTTTAGAGAGTTTATTCAAATTCATCACCAAATACGAGATCGTACAACTCATTCCCAACTACTCGTGTGATCTTCTTGAGAGCATTTATAGAATTTGCAAGGTCAAAATTAGTCTTAAGTATCAATTGCAAACAATGTACGTCTCCTTTACTTTATTTTTGTTGTATTTTATTGCAACTTAAATTATGTCTTTAAATTTGTTTGGTGCTTGTCATTAAATTTTTCAAACACCCAGCAAAAATTTACTTCATCGCTTGAGAAAGCCAAAAAGTTGATCACAAGTTCGGCCATTTGATTTTTGAGCAAGAGAGAGGGAGTAAAATGTCGAAGCTTGTTACCCGCACCTTCAATTACTACTCATGTCGACATTTGTACCGGTGCAGCCAGCATTTTCGCACATTTTCCACCGACGGCGACGGAAAAACTAAACCGGAGACGCCGGGGGGCGTCGGCGGCGGTTACGATGACGAAAAATATCCTAGCGGTGAGTTTGTTTTCAGGCAGAGAAATTCCCGGGAGAACTTTGGGGTGAAGACTAGGCTGCTTTTTGCTTGGCCTTGGGAACGCTTCCAGAGAGGCAGTGTGCTTCAGATGATTCTGCGCGGAGAGGTTATTTTTTCGTTTGTTTTCTTAAATGTAAAATTGTTATTTGTTTATAAGGTTCTGGTTTTGAATTATACGGGAGAGTTGTAGCATGTAACACTGGGAAAATAGGGCAGAAGAAGAGGATTAACAAAAAAATAGTTATGTTGTAGTCTTGAATTAAAGAAGCATCACGTTATGAATTAAGCCTCGACAAGAGAAGAAAATCGATTGGAATCAGTAGGTGGTGATCAAGTAGTGAAGTTGATTTTCTTGTTTGTTTATTTTTCATTGGTTTGGATGTTGGGGGCATAATCTCAAAACTTATTGTGATTTTATATCAGATATCTGATCAGCTGAAGAGATTTTCCAAATCACTCTCTCTACCTAAAATTTGTGAGAATTTTGAGAAAGCAGCTTATGATCCTCGTGTAGAGGGTATTTACCTCCATATCGACTCACTGAATTGTGGGTGGGGAAAGCTAGAAGAGATTCGCAGGCATATTTCAGATTTTAAGAAATCAGGTACCTTATTTGAACTTTTTCTGCAGTTTGTGTGCTCGATCTCTTTCATACTTTCTGTTTATAGTGAATCTTGAACCCGACCTGGAAATTTTTTCCCGTAATGTGCAGGTAAGTTCATCATAGGATATATGCCTGCATGTGGAGTCAAAGAGTACTATATTGCCTCTGCTTGCGATGAGCTTTATGCTCCACCATCTGCTTATGTTGGGTTGTATGGGTTACTTGCTCAGGCATCGTTTCTTGGAGGTGAGTTGGTAAAAAGTGACCCACTTATATATTACATTTAATTGGAAGATCTTAAACAAAGATGTTGTAGCATCAAATTCTGGTATCAGAAGAGTTCACCTCAACTGGAGAAGACCACAGATAAAGATGACGTAGCATCGAGTTTCGATATCTACTACCTCCCCAGGAGTTGAATTTTTGGAGTACAAATTTGTGATTACCGAGTGAATTCATGCAGAGTTTGCATATGCATTTTCTCCTCTCAAATTTATGCTCAGAGATGGTTAAAGAAAAAAATCCTATGCATTGAAGTTTTTGCCTTGAGAGGCCAAACCTGACGAGTTTGACCAAATTTATTACTGAAGTAAGCTCTTGTCGCTATGTGATTGTATCAGAATATGCGATACTTAAGTTGGAGTAAATATTGTTGTAAAGGGTTATATCTATGGTTTGAAATGGACCAAAGAGGGTATAGGATGGAAATATACTGATAATTTCCTGTCTGAAACCATTCATAACGTGGGATGCATTAGTCGATATTAAACTTTACTTATCTATATATGACCTCTAGGGGAATCACATGTAGAAAGGATGGGCTGTCGCTAAATTTATTGACAGAATAACTGGAAGTTGGAATTCCTCATGTTCAAAAGTTGACAATTATATAGTTTCAGTGCTATTTTCAAGTAGCGAGATGTTTCCCAAAAAGTAGAGGGCTTATGTTTAAGCCTATTCCCAAAAGTTAGAAGATGGAATATGATTTGAGTGATATGGAAAAATGCTGCATCAACTATTTGAGGATAAGAAACTGAAATATAGAAAAAATCTCTTTAATATTGAATTTTGTTTTCTTAATTGCAATCTCTTCAAATTAACATCAAATTTCATTTTGTAGGCGTGCTTGAGAAAGTTGGAATTGAAGCACAGGTAGAACGGATTGGTAAATATAAGAGCGCCGGAGATCAACTCACACGTAAAAGTATGTCTAATGAGCACCGTGAGATGCTGACTACTTTGCTTGACAACATTTATGGCAATTGGCTTGACAAAATCTCACTTGCAAAAGGTGCTGTTATTGCCTTTTGTTTTCTGGTCTTGGTGACAGACTTGATTACTAATTATTTTGTCTTCTACAGGAAAGAAAAAGGAGGATATTGAAAAATTTATCAATGAAGGAGTTTATCAAGTTGAGAAAATGAAAGAAGAAGGCTTAATAACGGATGTCAAGTATGATGATGAGGTACTCCTCACATTATTTACTGAGAAGTTGGGCAATTAGAAATTTGCCAGACATTTCTTATGTTTGCTCAATCTCAAATTGTTGCAGATAATTCTGTTGAATCAGCATCCTAGTACTGTATGCTTCTACCTTGTGATAATGTTCTTAGCCCCTTGCCTAATATAGCACATATTATTTTTTCATTCATAAATATATTCTGGTGAATTTTCCCTTTGTTATATTTATACTCCTTACATTTCAAACTTAAGGGCCCAGTTTTAACTTGTCCCGGCATTTTAGGTGAGACTTGAGAGTTGAAAAAATGTATGTTTTATGTAATTGTACCCTCTTTCCCGTAAAAGTTGTTGTGTAGTAGTTGAGAGAGCTCGTGTCACTTCATTACTTGAATTAGTTTTCTAATTTTGGAAAAAAATGTGTCATTTAGTGAAACTAAGTCTTATTTGGGAATGTTCCAAAAGGAAATGATATCAATGAGGGGCAGAGGGAGTATTTCTAGTAGAAAGTGATATTACTGAAGTACATTCTCTCACTGGAAATACTTGATTTGGATGGGTAATGCAAACGATAAAAGGTACACTTAAGGCACACAAAAGCGAATACAAAGTCTCGAACAGTGTTGCAACGCAATGAAGAAAATATTCTGTTAACGGAGAAATATCTTTGGCAAGAGTTCTGTAACACTTTGGAAGAAATTGTGTGGTTACCCAGGGGACATATTAAGCTTGATGTAAAAAATGGTCTATCAAATGAAATAGGATGCACACAATCGTCTATACCCAAGAAACCAAGGTTATTTAGTTATGCCTAGTTGTCTACTGTTACATTTGCTCCCTGTCTAGATCTGTTCTGGTACATAATGTTCTACCTACTCTCTTTAGCAGATTGATCTCTTTCTAGACATGGATACAACCATTTTTGCATGTAATCTTGGTTTTGGTCTTCAGGGAGAAGCTAAACGTTGTGGCACCTTTTGTGATGTAGTCTGATATCACACAGGACACATAAAAAGTTATGACTCGACCTTCTCAAAGTGATAATAAAAATCACGATTATATCTATTTAAAATTTCAGTTGTGGTTTAGTGGCTCTGAAACATGGTACTAAACGTTGCAGAATAAAGCTTGTAGAGAAATCACTCTTACCTCATTATTACCATTGCACAAAGTTAAAAGTCTTTCGTCCCTTTTCTTTCTGTGATATGCTATACTATTATTGTTGGCTTTTGGTGTTCATACTTTTGGGTTGGGGATTGTTGTGATTTAAAACATTTTATCGTATACATGAATATCCGCTTTGCTGCTAATTCTTAGAATATTCTTTATTCCAGGTTATATCTATGTTGAGAACACGACTGGGAATTTCAAGTACTAAAATACTTCCAACCGTTGGGTACAGGTATCTATGAGCTTAGTATTATCATCATTATAATTGGTGGCTATAACATGCTGTTTTCTCATTGAAATCCATTTCAGATACTTTTTGCGCTTAGTATCGTACATAACGCTCATATGATTGAGCTCTACAGACTCGTTTGTTCTCTCAAGTTCCAGCAAAATCAAGTACCAAAATGTTAAGATAGTATTCATATTCAAGGGAATAATTTATGGGGTATACATGTACAGAATAATAGCAAAATCATTTTATCCAAATAAAAGATGGTGCTTGTGATGCATGGTTTTTTACTGCACAAGCTTCTTTTGTTGCATGCAGGAAATACTGTAATGTCAGGCGATCGACTCTAGGCTTGACTGGTGGTAAAGACCAGATAGCTATAATTAGAGCCTGTGGAAGCATTAGCCGGACTCAAGGCCGTTTTAAGACGCCCAGCTCAGGGATTGTTGCTGAACAATTCATTGAGAAGATTCGAAGTGTAAGAGGTACATTCTCTATGCTAGACTCCGTTTTTTCTTAAACATAAGGCTCATAAATTGTCACTTAAAATTTGCTAATATAGTAGTACTGAATTCTGTAATTGTTCTAACTAATACAACAGTTTGATATACCTTCTCTTTGTCTGTATTGCATGTGTAATTGCGGTTAATATATTTTCAGTGTCTAGTTGAATTATATATATTTGATAATATTTCAAGAGAATCCAATTGTAGTTGCGAAAACACAAGTATTTTTCAAGGATAATATTTTGCATAGTGAATCCTCTTTTCCAATAAGGAAGATATTATCTACCAAAATAAAATAACTAGATCTTTCAAGAAGATAATTATATATCTAAATTAACTAGCTAGAAGACAACCTAAATTAGAATTACTACAAATTCATGGTGACCACACCTGGACTGGAATCATACCATTTTTCTCCCATTTATTCCTCTATTTTCGGTTGATTTTGTTTATATGATCCATGGCAAGAAGATGGTTGATGATAGGAGCATATGGTGTCTGTGGTTGTTGAAGAGGAAGAAGTTTCATTCATAAACAGTTCAATTTTTTTCTTTTCAAAATCAGCACCATATATGCCTCGATCTTGCATATCAGGTTATGCTAAATATAGATTTTTCTTGCCCTTCTGAGGAAAAAACATGAAATTATTACTGGGATATATATTGGTTAGCTGAATCTGTGGAAACATTGATTAGCCTTGTCTGTTGGCTGTTATTGATTATCCAGAACTTGTTCATTCAGATAATGTTCTGGAAACATTTGGAAAACTGATATGTAGTCTATTGCTGGTTTTGAAAGTAGATGTACTCTATTATATTATAAACCTTCAATTTATTGCTTCCCTTTCCTTAGCGGTATTTACCTCAATTACTATGGCCTATTTTTGTAGCTTTCTCTGATTATTAGAGAGTTTTCTGCAGCTTCAAAAAAGTATAAGGCTGTTATCATCCGGATTGATAGTCCTGGAGGAGATGCCCTTGCTTCTGATCTGTGAGCCCTTTTCTCAATTGTCCCCCTCTCTTTCTTTCTTGTGTATCAATGTGCAAGTTGTCTAGTATTTCTTCCAACTAGTGGTAAACATGTCATGATATTTAAAAATCTTGATTTGTCTGTGGAATATTTAATATGTCTTGTTCATCTAACCTGGAGTAATTCTTTTCAGTTAGTATCTATTTGATGGATAATGGGAAGGCAGGAAAGCAGGAAGATCCTTTTATATTTGTCTTGGTTATTTACATCGTTATCTGGAGATGTTCATGGATAACCTGCGTCCATTGTTTCTCCTTCTTACTAATTGGATTCCTTGGTAAAACTAGTGTTTTCTTTCATTCCAGTTCTAAAGATTCCTATGCACTTCCAATTGCGTATCTGGATGTGCCGGCTTGTGTAATTTTGCTTCTTATCACATTTGCCAGATTGTTTTTCTCGACTTTCAAATAACTCAATATATCACTAAAGCAATCTGGTTGGAACTACTTTTCCTTTTTTCTGTCTTCTTACTATCTTATCAGAAGCACTTGTTTGGGGACAAGTTTTAAATTAAAAGGAAGTTAAGATGAAAAAAATGCCTCACAAGTTCAAAATTCATGCACAAAATCAGAGTTCTTTTCCACTTGGTTGGAAGAATGTTACTTTTGTAGAGCTGCGGGATATTTCGATCCTACTTGGCCCGTGGAATGTTTTATCTTGACCCACATAGCAGCGATGCATATATGCCTATATCTGCAGAAAATGTTTACAATGTTAACCAGTTAGTGCTGTATCAGTGAAAAACACAATAAATAGATTGTGGATCAGTCATTCTGAATACTAATGAAACCAATTAAGTTAGAAGCCAAAATAGTTTTTTTTGCTTTTGCCTTTCAAGCGTTGGATCAATCGCATTACAGAAACCTCTTTGTGAGAAGTATCTTTAAATTTTTTTCTTTAGCTCTGGCGCGAATCTCATTGTTAATGATAACAATGCATTTCAGATAGATTTGAATCTGTTAGTCACAAGATTCCACATTAATTTCTAATTCTAATTTATTGTGTAGAACTGCTTGCATTAGTATTTCTGATGGGGTGCTTTGCGAGTTTTCTGTTTTGTTGCAAATGGGAGTTTGTTGTTCCAGTTTTAGGTTAACTTAAATCAAGTCTTATATGGGTAGAGATATATTCTTTAAGCTATTGATTACTATGCCTGTATATGCAGAATGTGGAGGGAAATAAAACTTTTGGCTGCTACTAAGCCTGTTATTGCATCAATGTCCGACGTAGCTGCTAGTGGAGGGTACTATATGGCAATGGCTGCAGACACTATAGTTGCAGAGAACCTAACGTTAACTGGTTCAATTGGAGTTGTGACAGGTTAAACCTCAGCACAGAGCTATCCTGTTTCGAGCATAAGTTGGTTGAAATGTTACTGAAAGTTTTATTTCGTTTTCATTGCTCCAAATAATTTTGTTTTTATCGTTTTATTATGTGCCAGTGTAATTGAAAAAAATGTTTATTTTTTAAACCCACTTTTCCTCCGAGTCACTAAAGTTTGATTTAGTATAAGAAAATTAGGTGAAAACTGAAAAGTTCTTCTGGTCAAACATCTGCTAGAAATTTTCATATATTACGAGTCGCAGTTATTAGATACCCAACAATAACATGCATCTCAGGTGAATTGTTTTACTGTTGAATTGCAAAAACTCGTATACTGAAATTTAACCATTGTTTTGTCTTGGTTTGACTGCATTTTTCCGTTTAACTCGATAAACTTTTCGTCGATGTCTAGTTTTGGCATGAGCCGACGTACTGTCACTGATTATCTCAAAAACAATTTGTGTACACATTCTTCTTGACTTCTCGTCCTTGGGAAAGAAAATACTCCATCTGTAGTTGGTCTGATTTTATCTACTCAATCGGATAGGATAGTATTTGTTCAAGACAGGTAAACCGACATGAATTTTGCTTTATGAGAATGTTGACTTGTAGCACCAAGAGAATGGAATTAGTACAAACAATTTGTATGAACGATTTAATGAGTAGAGTGAAATTGGAGAAGGAGATAACTTGCTGTTCCTGTTAAGGTTACAGTTTAAGATAGACATCAGCAGTAATTAGACATCTTCCTAGGGAAAAAATCATATAAAGTGACATCTTTTGATAATATATCAGTCCCATGTTCCTGAGATTTGTTTACTCCGTTGAATAATTAAGTAAGAGATGCTATTGTGAACTGTTAAGTAGGCAAGAGAATCACGGTCAGTTATATCATTATTTCCAATCACAGTGATTTTGTATTTCTATATTGCATTCTCTTCCATTTGAATATCTTTTTCTTTGCTCTGCTATGCAGTTGTGCTCATTTTCTGAATAACCTGTATATGTTTTTATTCTTTGCTGTTACATTCTTTCGTTAGTACGAATTAGCGTCTAATTGAGATGTGGAAATTGGATATTTGAAACTTGTCATCTTTTGCTATACATTATGAATAGATGATGAAGCTTCTTATTTATTTATTTTATTTATTTTTTCCGTCTTTCAGTGGTGGAGGGGTGCTTGAACTTATTCTTTGTCATAGTGGTTTTGAATTTTGATATTTTGGTTCACTTCTGGTTGTAGGAAAGATCAATTTAGGGAAGTTATATGAGGATATTGGCTTCAATAAGGAGATCATATCAAGAGGAAAATACGCAGAACTTGTTGCAGCTGACCATCGACCATTCAGGTAATACTAGATAAATTTAAAGTTGAACATATTAAATTGATTTTTTGTCAAACTTCAGAGTTGTGAGTGAGGTTGGTTTGCGTAAATCGAATGGAGCCTGAACTAGGTTTAATAGAGGCGAGTTAGAGTAGCTTGATTGTTTCATATATTTTATAATTTGTTTTACTAATCAACTCGAGTTCGAACCAAACTTCATAGATTACCGAAGCAAAAATGTAATGTTAAGGCTTACTTTGTTAATTCATGATCCAAACTCAAGCCACTTTGATTGATCGGGAATCGGGTTGTTGGTTTGTTTTTCAGCCATAAACTAAGGTATCTCCTTATTATGTTGAAGTTTATGTATGTGAAGATGTCTTGTACTCTCAACATGAGGAAGACTCATCTCAGTAAACAAACACTCTTTGTTTATAGAAAAGGAAAGGGTTGGGGAATGGGGAGTTGACAAATCAAATTACATTCTCCACTCTAGTTGCAATTTTTATATATCAACATGATTACAAATTAATCTGAATGGATGGACGGAGTGGTATAACTTTTAGTCTTTCCTGGCTATGTTATGCTTATTCTTACTTGCCATTGACTGGAAAATACTTTATGCAGTCCCTGGTATGGCGACCATTCAACATCACTAACACTCTTTACTTCAATCCGTATTAAAAAAATCTGCTGTATTTAGTTGTGAAAGATTATGTTCTTGTTTTCGCCATGCCTGTCTACAGATTCTTAATTGCTATGAAATTATATTTTGAATACTAACCAGTTGAAGATAATATGAACGATGAAGATATAGATGTAGTGCATGTAAGATTTGCTACGTGTGATTTAGATGTAGTCAATTGACAAACCATGGGGACTATTTTATGTCTTTCATAACCATCTTCTTGTTAAATTACTCTTTATTTTGGTGCCATGATTTGGATTTATTTCATGCATACATCCTTCTTGTCTAGTAAATTAGGTAGTATCAATGGTGAGTTGGTATTAACTCAATTAAGATATTGGGACCATATCAATTTAAAGTAATAATAATTTTTGGCTACTTGATCTGAAGAGCGGATGAAGCAGAACTTTTCGCTAAGAGAGCTCAGGATATGTATAAAGGTTTTGTAGAGAAGGCAGCCATTTCACGATCAATGACGGTACGTCCTTCAACATAATTAAAAAATAACTTTGGTATCCATGATTCTATCTGTGTTCTTTGAAATGCAAATGTGGTATGGCAGGTGGAGAAGATGGAACAGGCTGCACAGGGAAGAGTTTGGTCTGGTCATGATGCAGTTTCACTCGGTCTGGTCGATGCTATTGGTGGACTTTCTCGGGCTGTAGCAATAGCAAAACAAAAGGCCAACATACCATTAGACGAACAGGTATTTATTGCAGTCAATTGTTTAAGATATTTGGATCATCAGTTAAAAATGTTCGACAAGAAAGTCTGCATAACTTATGTTGAGTACCATTAGATAGACCAGGATATATAAACATACGGTAGGGAACTGATTTTTTTGCAAAATATCACTAAATTTACATGTTCATCCACTTTGTAACACGGTTGTTTTTAATGGCTACTAATGTGCTTAGGATAAAACAAGAATCCTAGTCAGTTTGGAAACCGGTGTAATCAAATGTTGTCATGTTTGGGTGTCTAGTGTTTGTTTAGTTAAGTGCTGGAAAATGATTTGTTAAATATGATGCAGTTATTATATGGTCGAGCGCCTTTTCGTATTTCTGTGATGCTGTTCCATATATGTGGGACTTGAGTTCAGTCAAAATTCAATCCGATATTACGTTTGTTTGTTTTGGTCATTTCTAATGTGTTTGACTATATCAGGTGACTCTTGTTGAGGTGTCAAGGTCGTCTACATACCCGCTTGAAATTTTAATGAACATGGGAAACAGTGTTGTTGAAGCAGACGAAGCAGTTAAAGAGTTGATACATGAGATGGGGTCGTCTAATGATGTTCAAGCTAGAATGGAAGGCATTTTGTTTGAGAAAATGGACGGATCTCCTTATGCCAACTCTATCTTCGCCTTAATCAAACATTATTTAAGGTCCCTTTGATACTATGTTTTGGTATCCTTTTCTTAGTTGTCAAGACTCTTCCAACATTTTAAGGAACTTTTCGTCTATTTGGGAGGAAATTATGTGGTGGGGGTTTCTTTATCAATGAAAATATTGGGTTGCTGTCTTTTTAGGCACTAATTAGAGCATCTCAAGGAAGAAGAAATACAATACAACTATTCGTTGAGTAAATTTGCACATTTCGGTTATCATGATATGCAAAAAGGGCTCCTCATAACTAAATTTAGTTGCTATCTAAATTTTATATGTTCTTCAGATTGGCATAGTGATATATATGACATGGACCCAAGTGTCCTAATAAAACTGTTGAGATCCCCCAAATTTATCTTTATATATCCAGTTGAATCTACAATGGATTTTAAGTCCTATCATATGAATGCACCAAATTCAGACAAGGAAGAAGCATGTTTAAAAAAGGCATCCAAAGATTTTTATTATGTGACGTTAGGATGGTTTTAGTGATGGAGTTGATAAATGAGGTTTCATTTTTAGGAATAATGTTTCAATTTTTCACAGATCTAATTTGACAGGTAGCTGTCGAAAATTGGTTGAATATTCGACAGCTAGCTGTCGAAAACTCATCCAAATTTTGACAGCTATCTGTCGAATTATCAAAAATCCCATTTCAAGCTCACATTTTTCGACAACTATATGTCGATTTTGATGATTTTCGACATCAAGCTGTCGCCCATTCATCAAAAATCGACATATACAGGTCGAAAATTGTGAACGAAGAACCAACCCACGAATCTCAAATCAATGCTCAAATCGACTGAAATTAGATGCACCCATTACTAATTAACGATCATTTCTACCTAAAACAATCAAATCTTAATTACCCATATCAAACAATCAAATCCTAAGTAAATATTAAAGAAAAAAAAATTCGAAAAAAATTATTACTTGGATGAATGAAACCGGAGCGAAGAAGCGGCGGCGGGTTGATAACAATGGACGAAGAAGCGGCGGCGGCGGCGGCGAGGGTTGGAGGTTTTTTTTTTTACATCAAAAGGATTTTTTTTTTTTTTTTTTTTATTTGGTTTTTGATTAGGTAATTTCTAATAAAATTTGATATAATTGATTTTTTGTATAAAAGCGGTGTTTTTGTAATTTTCTTTTTATTTTGTTATTAAAGTAAGAAAAAACTGATAAATATGCAATCAATTTTGGT